AAAAAATAAGGGAACAAAATTTCCACATTACGGGGATCAAGAATTATTTGTTGACTGCAATAACAATAATGTTAATATTCATCCATGACCACTCAGAAAAAAAATGGACTTGTTGGATGAATTGTTTTTCATTGTGTAAGTCTGTAGCTTTTTTAGAATTTTATACTGCTAATTCATGGAGAGTTTTTTTTTCTTTTGTTTTTGCTAAAAGCCACAGATGCAAACTCAGACCTGACTTGGATGCACCATTTTTCTGCATCATTTTCTACATACAGCTGCATCACTTTTTTTGATGCAAGTTTTTTTTTTACAATGACGTCATGACTGCTGCACAAATAGATATAAGGAACACAAACTGAGTCAGTTTTGATTTTGCATCACAGAAAACTCTCCTTTTTTTCACAAGCGGGGGAACATTGTTCTGTGTCTTCAACACACTACATGGTGTATTTTGAAGGTGCATTTTACAATTTTTGTAAAAAAAAAAAAAAAAAAAAAGTAAATAATTTTGTATATAATCATTTTCTAGTTTTTTTTAATGAAATTATGAATGTTTATTGATAAATGCGGCAGCTGTGAAAAGTACAGATACAAATGTAGGAAGCCATACTGATTTTCGTTTGCTGCTTCCTTGCCGACCATAATTTTTTTAAGCATCAGTATGTCATCTCTTGTTTTATGAGCAAGTAGGGAATATATTTTAAATACTGTAAGTTTACAAGAAAGTAAATTCAGGATAATTGTTCACTTGAAATAAATATGTAGTATCCATTTAGCTTCAGGGTGATATCCCAAAAGGCACATGACATTTAGGAATGGTTCGCTTTCAGTAGTGGCTTAGTAATAATGAAATATAAAAAAAAATATATAGGTTTAAGTTATTTTCTCTTTTGTTTAGAAGTGTGCCACAATGTGGGCAGCCATTTTATAGTGAGCCAATGCTCTTGTAAATTCAGCCTATCCATTTACTATGAACCATTGAAATGACTAGGTATAGCCAGAAATTGCATATTAATATTATCCCTTAAAATGGCTGCCTTCTATGTGTGTAGATGATTTGTGCACTTTAAAAGAGGAGAAAGAAGCATTGTATTTCCTACGTAAAGTATTGTGTCTGTAATGTTCACATTACTTCATTCAAGAAAAATAAATTGTGGAATCTATTGCGGAAATGAATGAATGTAAAAAGAAATAAACATTTCTATAAAAATACAGTTGTGTGTATGTTTCAAAGTTACAAGTCAAAAATTAATCCAATTTTATGTTTTGTTTAATACATTTATTATATGCTAATATGGTGACATTTTTGAAACATTCACAGTTTCACACCTATAGGGTGCTGAAGCACATCTTTAGTTGCTAATGTTCAGATGACCAAATAATTTCCTGTAATTATCCAACTGAGTTGTATATATAAATATACTGATGTATGGATGGCAGATAATCACTTCATAAAATGAAAAATAGGTAGTATGGCTTCTCAGCAAACAGTACTAATAAGTTATGCCATTTAATTTAATATAATAAAAGGAGCAGCATCTTTCAGCAACTAATCAGAATTCAGCTATCATAAATCTGGTGGTGCCAAACTAATGACAGCTACAATCTTATTGGTTGCTTTAAAGGGCTGCACATTGTTGTTAATAGCAGTGTTATTATTACATACAGCCCTAGTGTGATTGATGCATTCCTATGACTGCTGCACCTTGTGTTATTATACTTTGTACTTGACAGCAATGCACCACAGTGTTGACCTGTATGTTTTTTTCTACTATTACAATGCACATAATACTTTTTCTGTATTTATATTATTACTTGTATAGTATATAATGTGAACCTTTGGGTATTTGTGAAAGAAAGACTAAATCTTTGTAACTTTTATATCTGCTTTTGTTTCACCAAAGAAACTTTGTTTTGTTTGCTAGTCTATCGTTTATAGTGTTTTATTTATTCTAATTTTTTTTGGAATCATTTTATAAATAGAAAAAATGTAATTATAGAAACAAAAATAAACAGTGAAATGTACATGTGTCTCCCGCAGGTATCATGCAGCTCTTAAGTAGGGAGAGACTGAAAGTGCCTCGGTGCTCACAGTATGCTATATGACTTACTGATATCACTCAATGGATTTGCTGCACCTTCTTGGCTCACTCATCAGTGGTTTCCCTTACACACCCAGCCACTGAGACAGATGTGTGAAACTGTAGTGTAAAATATTCTCTCTTCTGCAAAACGGTTTAGAGCTCAACATTCCCTAATTTAGCTATAGTTCTGTGAGCTGTGGTTAACTGACCTTTCATTTGGTGGTTCAACATCACATGGCATAGCCATCAGCATGACTACAAGGATGTCATTCTGGCCACCCTATAAGGTGGACATTGTTTACACTTACCACCACCAATGTACGGGGTATTTTCCCAATGACCCGCAATGGACATATCTTACCAGGGGTTCCCCGAGACCCGAAAATTATTTCAAGGTTGAGAAAGTCTGGTTTAGAGTTTTGCTATAAAGGAATAATAGATATACAGTAAACAGCTCAAAGTGAAAGTCCCAAAGTTTCCCAAAAAAAGCAAAATTAATATTCATACCACACATAGGGGGAGACTTACTAAAACTGGTGCACTCAGAATCTGGTGCAGCTGTGCATGGTAGACAGTCAGCTTCTAACTTTAGCTTGTTTAATTAAGCTTTGGCAATAAAACCTGGAAGCTGATTGGTTTCTCTGCAGAGTTTTACCAAATTCTGCTCTCTGTAGTTTTTAGTAAATATCCCCCAGTGTGTTGCCCCTTTCTATTGAGTCTAGTCTCTTTAAAGTACAACTAAAGGTAAAGCTTTTTTTGTTACTTTTGGATATAGTGAAGATGGATTAGAACACCTGTTTTCAACTTTTTTTAGTTTTTACTGTGCCCCCCGTTAGGGAGAGTTACCCACTATTCTATTCTATTCTATTCCATTCCATTCTATTTTATTCCATTAGCATTGAAAGTAAAAGAAAATCCCATATTTTGGGGGAAATCATCCAATGGGAACCCTAATTCTGGTGACCTTGGGGTCCCCAAGGGATTCCCTTAATTTGCAGGGATTTCTTCTCAATTTCCTGTTTTGGCTACTGGACAGTAAATGAAGAGAAATCTCCCCAATGGAGACAGGGGTATGGTCCTTCCTTAATCTATCCAAAATAGAAAAAAGTTTTGCCTATAGATCTACTTTAAAGCTTAAAAATTATAGAAGCGACATATTTTTGCCTTGCTGTAACATTTAGAGCAAATGTAAGAACTGGAAGTTCTACTTCATATTGATGGTATTTCTGATAATGCCATGTGATGTATAACAATTTTGCAGGTGTGGTATTACTCATTTTCCAGCTGAGAACAAGAGTTCAGTCTCTGCATAGGTCTCATTGTCTTCACTGGCAGGTATAAATGCCTCCACCTCTTGACGACATCAAAATAACCACATATGTGTATTGGTACATTTTGTCTCTGCTCACATACAAAGGAGGAACAATGCAAGAACATAGGGATAAGCTTTGTGAATGACTTTGCTTTTATGCGAAAGTCATGAAACACTACCTGTGATGTTTGCAACATGTGTGAATTGTCGTTTCCATTTTTTTGCCTTTCATAGGGCAAATGTAACATTCCCATACATTTGATCCGAAGAGAAAAAAATGCTTTGAGAACAATCGACCAGAAGAGTTAAGATTCAACCATTTTGGAGAAAATAGACAAGCACTATAGGCTATAATCATTCGACCAGAAGAGTATATTATTTCCTCTCCTGATTGTATGTAATGCCTATGTGTGCAGTCCCTAACCCCGTTTTAACTTTTATATTTGTTAATTAAAAAGAGGTAGATGAGCTAAGAAGCTCCTTTCAGTCTAACTTTCTTAGTATCCATGTAGAATTTGGGTAAACAGCTTTCACAAATTGTATTTCACAGTTTTATTATAGTTTGCCTTTCCATCCCTCTGAGCTATCCTGACATTTATTTGATCTATTGTGTGAATATGTTCTTAGCGTGTAAGTACAATATATATATAAATATATATAACTATATATATATATATAATATAATATGTAGTGTTCCCAGAGAACACTATAAAATCCTACCAGTTCTGAGGTCTGTATCCATTTTGGAGTTACTGTGAAAATCTAAACTAGAAAATAGTTTTTATTAAAATTATACGCATTATTCTGCTCTTATTGTCCTTAGACATAGGGTTTGATTTGTCAGAGGTAAGTAGACTGCTAACTTAGTAAGGGAGGTTGCACTTTGCAAGGGAATTTTCCCCAGAGCTTGGTGAATGAAGTGAATCTCTGTTGACTTTCATCATCCAATCATGTGCAAGCAAAAATGTTGTGTTCTTTATTTTCCTTGCACAAGATTGGGGTATACTTTGCAAAGTAAAATTTCACCATGTTCACTAAGCTGTGAAAACCTCCTTGCCAAGTGTAACTATCCTTGCAAAGTAAACAGCCTAATAGCTTTTAGTAAATCAACCCCTTTATCTCATTTCAAGCTTTAAATGAAAGAGAATGAAAATTTAGTAAACAGCCACATTGGTTATATTGAGGGCATCAAACATGTCATAAACCTGTTACACTTCTTAGGGATAAAGGGCTGGAAAACCATGCAAATTGTCCTCCACAAAACTATATTCTGCTAGGGAACTTCATGGGAAAAAATCAAATAATATCAAAATAATGTAACTGTGTTCTGATGAAAAAAATTCAACGAGTCCTAGAGCTTCTGTTGGCAATTGATGTGAAGACAAAGTTTATTTTAGCGTACCTCATTATGAATGAGCTTGTGTGTCATAATCCGTTATACTCAATATCCTCCAATGCAGCCCTTTTCAACCTTTTTTACCCCAGGAAAACTCTTTAACCACTTCCCCTCCACCCTATAGCAGCCATACTGCTACAGGGAGGCAGGGTGTGCAAAATTACGTATATATATATGTAACTTTGCAGTTCCGGGTAGTGGGCACACACCTCGGCTGTCACTCACTGGGTCCTGGCCGGTGATTACTAGCTGGCATCCCGTGATTGCCAAGCATTACCGATGGGGGAGAGAACAATACAGCTCTCTCCCCTGTCAGCTCCAGCACACTGCTTTGTATGGCTCTGCATAGCAAAGCCATACAAAGCAGTGTGCTTACAGTGGAACGCACACACAGTATACTGTGAGAAAGCACACAGTTAACCCTTTGATCACCCCACATGTTAACCCCTTCCTGCCCAGTGCCATTAGTACAATGTCTGTGCTTTTTATTAGCAGTGATCACTGTATTGATGTCACTGGGGATGTTAGTGACACCAAGTCAGTTCCCCCCAGTATCAGAATGCCCGCCGCAGTCCCGATATAAGTCGCTGATCGCCACCATTACTAGTAAAAAAAGAAGGAAATTCCAGTACATATACCACCATTTGTAAATGCTATAACTTTCACGTAAACCAATTAATTTACATGTATTGGGACTTTTGTTAGCAAACACATGTAGCAGAATACATTTTGGCCTAAATTTATGATGAAATTTGATTTTTTTAATTTTTTTACTGGACATGTTTGTTTAATAGCAAAAACTAAAAAAAATATTTTTTTTTTTTTCAAAATTGTTGTTTTTTTGTGTTTATAGCACAAAAAAATAAAAAACGCATAGGCAATCAAATACCACCAAAAGAAAGCTTTATTTGTGGGAAAAATGGACGTAAATTTCATTTGCATGCAGCATTGCATGACCACGCAATTGTCAGTTAAAGCAACTCAACGCCGTAATGCAAAAAAATGGCCTGGTCAGGAAAGAGGGTAAATCCTGTGGAGGGCAAGTGGTTAAATACATTTCAGGCCTTAGGGAGCCCCTGGTAAAAGTAATTTGTTGGGGATCAGTGGGAAAATAGCTATTACATTGGTGATCAGATTGCTACACTCACAGAGAGTTAAAAAAAAGATCATTGGTGTCATGCCACTGACTCTGCCAAGTGGCTTTGGCCCCAGAATTATGAATGCACCATCAAAAGGAAGGTCAATCACCCACAGCTCACGGAAGCCCTTCCAACCTCTGGTGGAAACCTAGGTTCCACCACAATCTGGTTGGGAATGTCTTATTTAACTGCTACACATAGTAGTGCTTGGCAGTGTGAAACACATATGTTAAGCACTACAAATTTTGCTCTTGATGTATGCCTAACACGCATTTTACAAAAGATATATATTTTTTTTTACTACGCAACCATTTTTATTTATTTGAACATTTGTGTATTGCTTTGTCTATGAAAATAGCAAGTTTTTACCATGATTTTAATGGGTTAACCAACAGATTTGGAGCATTCAGCTGAAATTCAAGGGCTTTTCTCACATAAGCTTCAACAAGTATAAGATCAGTGTGTATAAGAAGCTTTTGTGAAACCTTCAGAAAGCATTTGCACACCATTTGCGAAGATTTCAAAAAGTTTCAAAAAGCTTTTTTGAAGCTTATAAAGTACCATTTAGCTTTTGTTTGGGGCTGTTAAACATGGAAGTACTGACTGATGTCACTTTAAAAAGATAGGGCACCCCCCGGCAACTCCATGACACTGCAGCTAGCAAGGAGATGGCTGCTTTGAACTGAATGCCTGTCTCTGGTCCCAGAACTTAAGCAAGAGAGCAGCATGAGAAATGCAAAAAGAGATGAGATTAGGGCCTTAAATTGGCCGAAATGGCTAAATGTAATATGGAAAGAATATGTATATATAATGACAGTTAACAACAAATGGTAATATACTACAGTAAACAAAACATACTATATATATAAAAAGATGACGTGTCTCACAAGTTAAAGTTGAACTCTAGTTAAACAGCTAAGTATACAGGTAAAATACACATATATTTACTGTTTACTTACCAAATAATTTGTTATCTTGTCCGGCCAATTGTGTGATATTCACACTCCTGCTAGCCAGTCTTCCTGGTTTAGCAATACTTACTCCTGGGTCAGCAATACAGCTTCTTAGGTCTTGCTCATTGAACAGAGTGCAGTGTAATATGTGTGTAAATCACAAGATTGATTGTACAAGAGTACAAATCATTTAGCAGGTAAAACAGTAAATATACAACATACATTTCAATTATATACTAAGCCTCTAGAGCAGCCATTCTCAAACAGGGTTCTGTGGAACCCTAGGATTCCTCCAGGGGTGGCTAGGGGTTCCTTGAGCTGTGGTTAACTGGGCTTCCATCTGATGGTGCATGCATGCATAGTTTCAAGAACAAAAGACATTTTTGGTGCACTAAGAAGAAAAAAACAGATGTATACTGTGATGGCTTGTGCATTAACCACACAAGTAAAGTTCAAAGGTGGTTAAGGGATATTCCAACAATGCTTGACACAGTGGCAGCCAATTCAAAAGAACCACAAAAGAAAGAGAAGCAGCGCCATCTAAGTGCACTAATATAAGCTAATAATTTATTTCCACAAAACTGGCAACTCACAATAGTAGTAGTCAAATGAGTGTCAAACTGGTGTCAACCGCTGTGCAACTCCTGGCTGGTCCCGCTGCAGGCAAGTCTCTTAAGCACTGTCCTTGGCTGTGCTGGTGGTGCCCATTACTTCCTGGATCCTGTGGATCCTCAGAGCAGGAGGGAGTGTTGTCAGCTCCACATACAGCAGTAGGTGTGACACGTGTTTGGAGCACGCATGCTCCTTCATCGGGTAATAGAGGGGGCATATATTGCCAAATGATAGTGATGGACTATAGCACCCAGCCAACTCATGGAGAGACCCAAGTGTCATCAGAGGTTAGTACAAAAAACATCAAGCCTCCCTCTCTTAAACTAATTAGACTAAGCGCTCTTAAATTAAAATACAATAAATAAAATATAATAAACGTATAAGGAGGATATAGAGGGACAATTATACAAATTAGGCATGTGACTCACTATGCACTCTAACATACAGCCAACAGTCTTGTTTGTCACGACAACAATTATGTCACATGTAATGGTCCACCCATGGGCAATATAGGTGTTACAACATGTGCAGAATCGATCACAATAGCTAATCATACAGTACCTCCACAGCCAGAGTATTTTAAAAAAAAAAACCCTTGTCCACCAAAGAAAGTTTAGAAGACATAAAAAGGAGAGGAAAGCTTTTCAGACTGTAAAAATATTTAATCTGTCACATCGGAGACTTAGCTTTGCCCCTTCCGCACCGCCTAACCCATTTACCCTTTTTGATGATTTAAACAGATTTATGAGGAACCTCACAGTCAAACATTATTACAACATCCAAGCTCTCAAAAGCAACAATGGTAGTGATACTAGTAATAATTCTCTTCCAGATAATTCACTAGAAACCATGTCACTAGATGATAAGGCCCTGGCTCATCTGGAGGACCTTTATATAGAGGATGATGAAGACTATCACATGTTCCTTTCCCAACATCTTTCCACCTCTCCCCCCCGGTCCAACATACAGGCCTCCGACCGAGATCCATTTTTAACCCCACCTTTGCCAAGGGCCCATATCTGCAAAGCAAAGTAGCACACTGTAACAACAACAACATGGGGCTGTCCTTTACCTCAGTCTGTGTGATGCAGAAAAAATGGCTTTTTTTAGATTTGGAAGTTGGAACTATGTCATGAGGGTAATACAATTGTTGCCCAATGTTATACCAAGCCCACAGCAGGCAACTCTTATCTATACTTTAAGAGTTTCCACCATCCTCGTTGGGTACAAAACATACCGAAAAGCCAGTTTTGTCGGCTCAGACACAATTGTACCTGTGATACAGACTATATTACCCATGATAACTCTTTAGAAGACAAATTCTTGGAGAAAGATTACCCCAGCACACTTGTGGAGGAGCCCTTCTCCTTATATCTCACTGATGGTGCCAAAGTAGATTGAAGCAAGACACCCACTTGTTCTCCACAACCTCTCAGTTCCATATGCAGTTCATAAATATGGAACATATATTACAAAAACAGTGGTTCATACTGCTTGAGGATCCCCATCTAAAATCATCACTTATAGTCAAGCCCAAAGTTTCCTATAGACGGGCCCGAAATATTAAAAGTAAAATAGCCCCTAAGTAAGGTCAAAGGTATCCAGGCCAAGACAGGTCCTTCTCTAATCTTCTCTATCATCAAAGACATGTATCAGTGCCATAAACCCAGGTGTCTTATGTGCAAGCATGTCTGACATGGACAAAAAGACTTCTCCATGAAGGGTAAAACTAACCCCATCTCTGAGTTTCACACCTGTTCATCTGAAGTCTTCTGTCTCTCTTGACCATGTGGCTTGCTGTACGTGGATTGTACTATCCAGACCCTCAGGAAGAGGTTTGGGGAACACAGTCATTTTTTTTCAAGGATGGCATTGACAAACACAGTATCCCAGGCACCTCCTGAAATTTCACCAAAAATCCTCTCAGGGTCTGATGGTCTCGGTCATTGAAGTCATATCTCATGACCTACCAACAGCAGAATATTTTAAACGTCTCTGTGTAAGAGAGGCATTTTGGATCTATACCTTGGACACTTTGGCCCCTGGCAGACTGCATGAGGAACTTGAAGTCAGCACAATTCTCTAAATATTTTATGGATGTGTCTCCTTGGCATTGCCTCCATTGTTCTCCCTTTTTTGGGAGGCAAACTGACAGTCTTTTAGTGGTGGAGTTGTATGGGGGGTTCCACCGCCCCTCCTGTCTGTCTCTTGGCACTATAATTGATCCACATGTTACATGTTTGTTTGTACACCATATGCTTTATTTGTGCCGGATAGTGATTATCATATACTCAAGGATTACACCTACTCACTTGATACCTCTAGTACTTTTACATAGTTACATCCATTTCCTAATATTTCTGGTAGCTGGCCAAGTTTGTTATTATATTTATATCCTTTATTTTCTCTTGCTCTACATTATTTTCATTTCCCCAAATGGCATAGGTAGCATTATTATTATTATCATCTAGAATTTTTGTATGCACATTTCAATAATATGAAATCACCTGTTTATGTACAAACATTTCTATTTTTACATATCTATTTATTTATCAATACAGGACCCTTATGGTCTCTATGTTATAGTGCATAGTGAGATACATGCCTAATTTGCAAAATTGTCCCGTAATATTCTCCTTATATGTTTATTGTATTTTATTTATTGTATTTTAATTTAAAAGCGCTTAGTCTAATTAGTTTAAGAGAGGGAGGCTTGATATGTTTTTTGTACTAACCTCTGATGACACTTTGGTCTCTCCATGAGTTGTATGGGCCCTATAGTCCACCACTGTTATTTGCCAATATATGCCCCCTCTATAACCTGATGAAGGAGCATGCATGTTCCAAACGCATGTCACGGCTACTGCTGCTGTACCTGGCCCTAACA